CTCGTGTGCCTCGCGGCCATCTTCTCTAGGCTATTAAAGTGCCTTTATGAAACAAATGTTAAGGTTTCGAACCGCCTAATATCGGAAGCACTTAAGTGTGGATGAGTTTGGGCGGTTGGAAAGGCGACGCCAAATCGCACTTAATGGGGTGCGTTGGTGTTGGGAACCAGGTCTGCTTGTGAACTTGGAGCTGTAGCGAGACGGAAAATTGGCTCGAATAAGTCAGCAAGTAGTCCTTGAGTCCACGAAAGGCAGAAATGGCTGAGTAGATGGGCCTTGATGTAATGAGCTGATATCATCTTGAGTCGTTGAGGGCTTGGTTGGGCCACTGCGCCAAAGACTAAGTCGTTCCGGTGAAGCCACAGTGTGCGTAAGACAACACTACGGGTGATGTGAAAAAAGGTCTTGATGTCGTCACGAACTTCGGCCGGTGCTTCAGGTGCCAGAGCCATGTAGGATCCGAAAACAATTTGGTCCCAGTGGATGGGGCCTTGGACCAAACTCACGAAAAGTTCCAGAAAGAACTCCCAAGTGACTTTGGCAATGGGGCAAAGCCAAAGTAAGTATTGTGCGTTTTCCAGGGTATCGCAACCAAAAGGACACTTGGAGTGGCGTTGAGTATTCCACTGTTGCTTGTATCCAAAGGATAAAGCGTTGTGTTGGAGTCGGAACTTGAAATCCGCGAACACTGGTAGCAGCACTTTGTCCATTTTGAGTTCAAACGACCAAACTCGGGAAGGCGGGAGTTGAGAGAGTCCAAGCCGCTCCCATGGAATGTCTTGGGGAATATGCTTAGTGACCAAAGCCAAAAGGTGCTTGTTCTTGATTTTTGTGATGACGGAAGTGCCTTGTTCTTGGTTCAAGGCAAACTTCCAGTTCAAGGTGGCAGCACAGAAATTCCTGGTCAAGCGGGAAACCGAGGCAGCGGCCCAATTTGACGGCTGAGGTAATTTTCCCGCGAGTTGACGAGCAGAAATACGGTAGCTTGTAACCTTGTGGCGTCGCAGAAAATTTTCCAAAACGGATTCCGTGGGTGTGGCATCTAGGACTTGTTGGAAATTCGCCAAGGATACCATGCCGAGCGAAACGTACAGCTTCGACGTACGAGTCGCAGCTTGGAGGTTGACACTGGACAGGGTGTCTGCCAAAGTGGAATCCAGCCAAATTGGAGTGTGTATCTTCGAGTAGTCGTCTTGAAACTTGATTCTTCGAGGAGCCATGTAGTCGTGCCAATTTCTTAGAACGGAGTACCAAAATCGACCGAGTAAGGATATGGCTCTGGGGCTTCGAGCTTGGGGCGGAGTTGGAAGAAAAAGAATATCTAAACCATGTCCAGCGGGTGAAACCACTTGGTGCATAAGGGCCACGATGGGGTCCAACCAAGGCAGAACGGTAGCTGAAGCGCATTGGAGCGCAAGGACATTCAACATGGTGCGTAAACGGAGAACCTTGATACGGGCTGCGATATTGGGAACTTCAAGCCCGCCTTCCTTACGTGGGAGCTGAATCCAGGCTCGGGAGAGGTGGTTAACCACTAAACCTTGTTTATGTAGGCGGCCATAAACAAAATCCAGGGCTATTGACTCAATTTCTTCGACGACGGAGTTGGGAACATGGCATACAGCAGCAGTATACCAGAGCAAAGGAAGCACCATGGTTTGCAAGATGACAACGCGGCCTTGCAAAGTTCTTGCACGGTATTTCCAGAGATTGCATCTACTCAGTACCCCTTGAACGATAGAGCGATATCGGTCTTCGTCCTTGATATCCGGGCCTTCATGAATGCCCAACCAGCGGCATTGTTGACTACGCTGAATAAACCTGGGACCTTGGAGCTGCTGAATGGCGACTTCCAGTGTGTTAGGGTAAGTTGGGCAGAAGGGCATCACAATGGTTTTGCTGACGTTGAGTTTCATTCCCGTTGCTAGGCAAAATTCTTGGACACAATCCAAGAAAGTCTTCGTATCTTCTAGCGAGGAAAGAAGGCCAGTAACGTCGTCGGCGAAGGCAATCGTGAGGTGGGTAGCTGATGGTGTGGACAGTCCCAAGTGTGACAAGCGGTGTCGCAAATAAACCAATAAAGGTTCGATAAACAGCACAAAGAGTGCTGGCGATATCGGATCACCTTGACGGACGCCACTGCCAAGCAAAAATGGTTCCAATGGCGAAGAATTGAACAAGATGGACACCTCAGTGTCAGTAAATAGTGTTTCCATCCATGCGCAATAATTCGGCCCAAATCCAAAATGCTGGAGGGTCTGGAGCAGAATTGGCCGAGAAACAGTGTCGAAGGCCTTTGCAAAATCGCACATGATGGCTCCTGCACAGGTAAGTTGGTGTTCCTGGCACCATTGCTGAAGGCCGTGAAAACGCGTGATGGCGTGTTGGATCGATCTGCCTGGTGTAAATCCATACTGGTCAGATCCCAGTAGAGAAGGCAGGATAGTATTCGTCCGTTTGGCTAGGATAGCGGGCGCAAGCTTGGCAGCCACGTTGAGCAGGGTCAACGGCCTGTAATTAGAGTGCAGGTCTTTGGAGCCACCCTTGAAAAGCAGTGACAGGGATGCTTTCCGTTGCAGGGTAGTCATGCGTTTTCTTGAAAAGTTGAACGCGTGTACAATCTCGAGCAGGGTGCCCCATAGATCAGGATTGACTTGAAAATATTCGTAGGGAAGTCCGTCCGGGCCAGGAGCCTTGTGTTTCGGGCCAGCTTGAATTGCACTTGAAAATTCTGCAGCCGAAAGAGGTGCTTCTAAAAATTCCCGTTGATCTTCAGTCAGGCAAGCTGACGTGTGCTGAAGAATCATTCTGTGGAGGGCGGGATTCACTTCTTGTGGGGAAGCATCCAGGTTACGTGAGGGCGAGTGGAATATTTTCGCCCAGTAACGTCTACACGCTGAAGATTTTAAGTCCCAGTCTTCAGAGTCCTTGACTGGAAAGGTGCAAGCCTGCTGCCGAGGGACTGGTGGCTTGAAAAAGGCGCTTGAGCATTTTTCTTGGGACTTGATTTGTTCGCGAAATAAGTCTAACTCATTTCGATCCTTGATTCTTCGAAGCGTATCTTGGAGGTGAAGCTGAGCGGCTTCCAGCTGACTGGATAACTCGCTGCTTGGTTGAGCTTCCAGTGCTGTGGAAATTTCAGCAACGCGGAGACGCAGACGATCACACTCCTTCCGGTCTTGATCATGGTGTGTAGTCACGATAGACTGGAGGTACATCTTGTCGTGAAAAAGATGGTCGTCCATAACCTTGGCAGGGTTGAAGCCCGGAGTACCCTGTGGCAATAGTCCGGCTACAGTGCACTTCAAGGTGTAGTTGAGATGTTGTCGGATCTCCGGCAGCTGAAGTACCCAGGGTGGGCAGCGCCATGGTGCTTTTGTCTTGGGCTTGTATGAGTTGGCGGCCAAGGAAAAAGCGATCGGGGCGTGATCATTATGGAAAAATACTTGGTATTTGTCCACGTGGTATCGAATCGACTGAAGGTTTTCTTGATGAATAACGCCCGAAAGAAAAACATAGTCGATGCGGTTGGAATGAGTAGGGTTGGAATAGACTCGGGAGTCGGGGTTGAGCAGTCTCCAGGAGTCGACCACGCCCAGTGAGGACATCCAGCGCTCTAAAGCGTCAAGGCCGGTTGGGCGTCGATGGGAATGGACGACCTT